TGGTGTTTTTATAACGATTATGAATGAAAACGTGTTCTATAAAATGTGAAAAATTGTTTTGAAAATTTGGGTGTTACACCATGTCATAAATGAAGATGACATACATTTTTGCGCATCATAATTTTAAATTTTTAAAAAAATATATTATTTGTAGATTTACTAATTTTCAAATTAAATTTGTATTTAATGTCTCATAATAGAAAATAAGATATCATATACAAAAAATACAATCCATTGCATAAAATTTAATGTCATACAAATAATCATTCCATGGAAAGATAAAACAAATCAATAGAAGTTGTAACAAAAATGTACAAACGAATTAGATACAAAAAATACAATCCATTGCCCCTTTGCTGATTCAAGATCAACCTGCAATTAGCTAACTAATCTTTACAAATTCACCCTTGTTTCTAATCATTTTCTTAAATACTTTACAAACACAATTCATCCATAGTACCTGAACTATAGCTGCAGCCTTGCTTCTTCTTCTTCTTCTAAACTCATCTCTTGCAACCATTGCTCTAAGCCTAGTCTGAATAGATACAACAGCTCCTTGTCAATTATGTGATAAAGACAACCAGAGAGTGGCAATACTCACAACAATAGCTGCAGAGAATGCATCTAGGTCCTACAAGATCATACAAATCACTATTTAAATACACACTACATATAAAGGTGTCAATATTCTGATTGCATGTTATCCTAGACAAAATTATAAGATATGAGCATAAATAGAAGAATAATTGGAAGTATATGTATACTTCTCGTTGGAGGCATTGACTTTCTGTCATTTTATAGCAATTTGTCTACTTAATATATAAAGACTCCAACAATAAATAGATATGTTATGTTACCTTGACGCATCTCTGCTGTCCAAAAGTATCCTCAAGTAGGAGCTTTCTTCATATTTGGAAGCCTCTCTGTTCCGCAAATCAATCAATCCACACACAACACAAGTGAAGTGGAGAAAGAATTACATCAAATTTAACAGTTAAAGACACCAATTTATGGTGAATGTCTTCATCAAATATGTAGTGCAACAAATGAAGAAGCGGTTTTGATGATTTCCACTTGCCACAATCATTCATTTCATTATTGAGGAAGAACGGGAGAGGAAATGGTGTGAGTATTATAAGAATTGCAATGCAAACATTTATGCCCCATTATGTGGAACAAAACTTCCGAAGTGTCATTGCAGTCATTACATAAGATCCAAAACTGCAATTTTCATATTTCTCCATTCACTTCTACTGTTTCAGTCTCTTCAAGATTCAAAATTCAAGAAACTCGTAATATAATACCTTCTTTTGTCTGTAATCTTCAGGCATCATAGTAGCTTCAATCTGAGAGTTACAAAACAAACCAACTTATAGAAATGAAAGATGATCAAGAATTTGTTGTTTAAAATTAAATTTTCACAGTCACAGATTCAATAGATGCACCTCTTCATCTAGTCTCTTCCACATCATAGACATATCCATTACTGATTTTGAGCATATGGGACAAGAGTGTCTATAATAAAAACCATTCAAATTTAGCTAAAATTTCACAAGATTTGGAAATGAACTAATTCAAGACAAGTTTAGATTGTCTTACTTATTACGCTTAATCATCTCGTGACACATTTTGAGTGCATTGTGTGCCCATATTTCATCACAGTTGTGTCTTTTAGCGAGTCAAATAGGTACTGTAAATGGGAGTGTTAAAACTTGCAAGTTTTTTTCAGAAACTGATAATGGTGATAAATAAATATAAAGGGGGAATGAAAAAGGAAAAACCTCATAACATATAGGACATTGATGCCACATTGAGTTTTCAACACATGAATGATTGTTGAGTAAGTGACAAATGTTAACAAAAAAATCTTAAAGTAAGAAAAAGGGGGTTATGAGTTTGGGCCTTTAATTAAGTGACAAATATTAACAATTGACTAATAACTTTTAAAATGAGAAAATAGAAGACTTTATTAAGGTTAGTAAAACAGATGGCTACATTCAAGTGACCATTTTTCTTATCAAGCTTCAAGTTTTTATGAGATGTATTGGAATAATTTAGAATTGAGGACAAAAATAGCCCTAGAGTTATTTTGGGAAACTTACAATTTGATAAAAAAAACTTTATTAGAAAAGGATTCTAATTCGTTTAGTACTTATAGGGTACGTGTTTAATGTTATAAATGAACTTTTTCAACTTCGAATAAACTCAACTGCAGCCTAAGGAAAATTCCCAGAATTGTTTTTTTCCTTCTTCCCCTGTTCATTTCTGTCCACATTGTTTTGTATTCTTCAGGAATCAAGTGAATTGATTCATGTATAAGCCTCATTCTAAGAGAATTAAAATGATCAAAATTATGCGAATAAACTAATTTAATTACAATAAAAACTCACCCAAATCAGTATGTTTCTGATCTTGTCTGTGGTTATGCCTAATTTCACCAAATCTTGAAACAGTTGGCTGATAAGGTGATCTTCCTGTAGCTGGCCAACACACCGAAGAATTTTATGATGAGGACCTCGTAACATCATCTGTTAATTGCTCAGAAAAAGCTGAAATGTTGAAGTTAGTTCTACAATAAGCCAAATGATAGCCACTGTGTGTTGAATTCGTTGTGGGTGATGATTGATCATGGTTATGATGATCATGATCCATTGAGGAAATTCATGATGATTCTAATTCAGGATCATAAAGATCTTCCAGTTTCTTCATTTTACACCTCTTTTCTTCACGAAATCTTTTGATGTTCAGTCTGGCATAAAAACACATAAAAACAAACAGTTGGTGTATACGATAAGTTTTTGGATACCAAAGAGAAAATCCTTAGGGGATTTTCACCTTTTTGAAAACAAATATTAAAATAGAGAGAACGATAATAGCGACAATGATACGAACTAAGTACACAGATTTATAATTTCTAGTAAATTCAGAAAAAAGTCGTTAAGTTCTTACTTTTCGCAAAGGAACCCTTATTCTTGAAACCTTCATAGCCATGTCATTCTCCCCATTTCGTTAAATTTTTCTCTAGTTAAATGTACAGAACAAAAGAAACGATAGTTAAGCAAACAGAAGAATGAGAGTTGTAGTGGTGTAGCTAGAAAAAAACATACATTTTGTGGTTTTAACAACCACATCTTCAAGAACAATGAAGGAGAAGATATGCTGGTGGTGAAACGAAGATGGTGGAATACAAGATGTAGAGAGAGAAAAAGAGGAGGTATGCGTTGAAGGTGTTGCTTTGGTGTGCTAGCGGTAGAGACGGAGGTGCGATGAGTGATTTGAGGTTTACAGGCGTGAGGTTCGGCGGTTGTGAATGGTCGATGGCTGTGTAGAGTTAGAGAGAATAAGGGATATGGAGAATGGGTCTTAGTAAATCATTCCCCTAGTCGATTTTGTGAAATAACAAGGCGGGGCATTCTAAATTTTAGGATTTTCATTTTCCCGCTGGTTCATAAAGAGCACGTTCCCTAAAAATTATAAAACGACATCTAATTTTAGGGCACGCAAAAATGCGTGCCCTAAATCCTTTAAATTTTTGAAGGGATGACATTTTCTTTACGATACCCACTATTGTGCATCGTAATTCAGTGCGTGTCGTAATTTGCGTGTCATTAAAAGTCTGTTTTCTAGTAGTGATGACAACTGATGATTGGGCCGCAGCCCCGAATAACGAAGAAATCCAAAATCGAGTGTTACAACTCTCCCCCAATGAAATTACATTCCGTCCTCGAAATCGCTCCTTACTAACACTTATATCAAAACAAACAACCGGAGGAACGCAACCGAAAATCCTGTGCATAAAATGACCTTCCCAAGACAAACAAACCCAAACCGAAACTTCCATCCTGAATAAAAATGAACCCTTAGCCCCCGAAGAAAACCACTCCTACCTTTCCGAAACCTGGAATCTACATTGGCCTAACTCCCCGACAGACCGCCCACACTGAAACATCACCAAACCAAGTCCTTATCGAATAACATACTAAGCATAACACTTCCAACCCTGATCATCTCGATGCAACCAACATAACAAATTCACTGACCATAACCAGATGCAAAACTCCCATACTTAATAAATGACTCAGAAAATCCTTCGAGTAGAAGATTTATCCCTGCAACGGTTAGACTCAAATGAGATCTCCGCAACAGAGTCAAATCAATTACTCTGAGTTTATTCAATCCCACTACAAGTGACTTAGCATTTACCGATCAACAAGCTACCCCACACACAAGAACCCAAATCACTACTACTTCCTGAAACATCACACTACCTCCTAGATGCCTTCCAATAGCGGTCGAGACCTCCCTGGTCCCAACTTGTCTGCCTACTATCTGAAATACCAGACTCCCGCCCGGTTGCTGAGCTAAAAGACACTCACACAGTCGCCCACATGACTTCTGAAAGAAAACCTAGACTGTCAATAATTACCCAAACCATCTCGACACCAAACCCGATGCTAAACTGAATGGTACATGACCACCTGTAGTCTTACTTCATACCCGGTCTCCAACGACCTACCAATTCCTGATTCCAAACCTGATGTGGCTCTCCCACAGCCTTGCGAACAGACCCACCCTGGCCTATACCATCTAAAGAAACCCATGAGCAATTCACAGATTTACCACAATCTCTCCGCCGCACAGGGACCGGTGAATGTTACGGGCCACCCCACAGTTTTACAACACTCCCACACTAATTGACCACTAGTAAATGCTACGGGACACCCCGCAGTCTTACAACACTTCAATACTCACTGCTAACTAGTAAATGCTACGGGCCACCCCGTAGTCGTACATCACTTCCACCTTACCACAACCGCCACCCAATGCCTTACCACTAATCTATCAATTCGAACACATCCAGAGTCGAGCATGTACTCAACCAAACATCCAAGCTGAACTCGGGTCATGAATGGAACCCCAACCTGGGTCCCCAAAAGGCCAACTATCAGACACCAAGAAGATGCGAACCAAATGTTGGGATGTTTCCCGAACTCCCAACTCACACAATCCTCAATCCAGACACCCACTTGGGTCGCCTTCCTCCCCGGCGGGGATGTGAAACTCATCCTAGTTTCACACCTGCTTCTGTTCCTAAATACCTGAACGATTCGCCCCCACTTTGATTCCACTAAGCTCTCACAGTACACAAGAATTGAAGGATTCCCAATCCTTCTTACCCTCCAATGATCGATCTACTGACAACCGACGCTTACTAATGCTAGTGTTCCATCACTAACCATCCCAAAAGACGGCACAACCCCTGAAGACCAGCTGAACAATTCCCGAATCCCAACAACACTGATAACCCATATGCTTAAAATGATATCACACTCGATTATTGAAGTCCAAAGGACGGATGCTCCAACCAAAACCCCAGCAACATACCACTTCCCTTGGCACCCCCAAAAGCCAATCCAAGCACAAATGCTAAAACCACTGAATCCTGGCGATACTAGAGAACTAACCTGCTCAATCTTGACCATAAACCTTCCACACAATGCCCCTGAACCGATCTCGACTACAAACCAAAATAACAACCAAACTCTCGAAACCCGCTATAAGAGAAACAACCCCTCACTAAATCACTAATGATTCATGGCATGCAAATGGCATATAACATTTCCTGAAGATATAACCAAACATAAAAAGAGAAATGAATCCAAAGATACGCTTACCCAAACCGATGCAAGATTCCAACAACATAATTACTAATAAAACCAAAAAGAAAGCACAAGATACATACCCGCAATGTCGCCTGCTAGAGTCCTGACCTCCCCTGTCTGACACTACAAAGCCCGACTCCTCTCTGTTGGGGCTCCTGGCCTACCCTCTCGTCCATCGGGGATCCTCAAAGTAGCCGGAGCAGGCGCACTCACTGCTCCTCCCATCAGCATCGGACGCCAACCTTCTTGTGGCCAACCTGTTCACAATGAAATTATAACGGGCTTTCCCCTTGAGGACAATCCCTGCTGACGTGACCAAGCTTACCACACTTGTAACAGCCCATACCCCTGGAACGATAAACTCCATCGTGCAGTTTCCCAAACGTGCTGCACTGACCCTGGCCCTGCTGGCCTCTCAAACACTGATCAGAAGTCTTGGGTCTCGTCCCATGACCCTCCACTATATGCACCTAATCTGGTCCTCTCTTCCCAAGGTGCTCCAAATCGATATCCCCCTATCGAGCTCTAGATATCATATCATTCAGGGTCTCGCACCCGGAAATACTCACAAACTCGCTGATATCATCCTGCAGCATATCATGATACCACACTTTCTTCATCTCCTCATATGCTGCATACTGTGGAACCAATAAAGCCCTCTCCCGGAACTTGGCAGTGATCTCTAATACAGTCTCAGTAGTCTGGCGGAGATCCAGAAACTCTCGTGCCAATTGCTGCACCTTAATTTCCTGTAAAAACTCAGATCGGAACTTGGTGGAGAAGTGATCCCATGACATAACATCAACAACATCATCACCCATCTCGCTACTAACCTTTTCCCACCAATCCCGATCCCGGTCCTTCAACAGGCAGGAAGCATATCTGACCTTCGCCTCCTCGGGGCAGAAACTCGTCTTGAACGCGTTAGCCATAACTGCTAACCACCTCCTACTAACAATGGCGTCCCTCTCCCCATGGAACGCAGGAGCTCCGCAAGCACGGAACTCCCAGAAAGAAAGAGTGTGAGCTCCAACGATAGCCATCACCTCAGCACGGAGCGCGCCCAAGCGCTCATCCAAAATCTCCGAAATACAACAAGAAATCTCCGATGAGATGAACTCCCGAATTTGCTTGCTAATCGGCTTAGCACATGCACCTGAGACGAAACCCGAACCAGAACATGAACCACCTCCCTAAGTGCTCATCTCCAAAGTGAAATACAACATGCCAAAGATCAAAACATACCCAAGAATCCTCCTCCCATAAGCTTCTTAGATTCTACAAGACTCTCCCTTATTCAAGTATGGATCCTGTGCTTTCAGTAGTACGGACCCAATACTACATTCCACACCTATCCATACCTTCCTCAATGATCACCCTGAATCCTCTAAGTTGCCTTCTCAAACCAATGCACCAAAACTCGCTAAACCGCACCACTAAACCCGTTGAAGCATATCCTAGGCTCTCCTAGGTTACCGACCTCACCCAGCCCTCAGCTGTTGAAGGACTCCCAACAATGTCAACTAGCTTCCTCATGAATATAGTCATATGCCACAGAGATCAGAAAATCCTTCGAGTAAAAGACTCAATCCTAGAACGGTTGGATTCAAACAAGAGCTGCGCAATATGGTCAAATCCATCACTCTAAGTTTATTTAACTTGTGCCACATGTGACTTAACATATTCACTTAGCAGTCAATTCATATCACTAAGAGTCCTACAAACCACAAAGCAAGCAACATGCAGGCAACGGAAAATCTAACCAACATACACTAATCAGGCCATTCTATCTGCTTATCAGAAATTCATACTAGCATGCGATTCTAAAGCTCATACAATCATGAATATAGTCATATGCCAACAATGTCAACTAGCTTCCTCATGAATATAGTCATATGCCACAGAGATCAGAAAATCCTTCGAGTAAAAGACTCAATCCTAGAACGGTTGGATTCAAACAAGAGCTGTGCAATATGGTCAAATCCATCA